TGGCTTATTGATTAGCAACTCGTAATTTGTGAGCATTCGGAGAACTACCTATTGCAGATTGGTATCAGCAATACAGCAGATAAAATACAACACTGGAAACCGAAGAAACGTTAAAAAGAGCAGACAAAATGTCCTAAACAGCTTTCTATAACTAATCCTAGCAAGTTCTGCTTGCCCAAGGCTCTGCACGGTCGTGCCCTGCGGAAGGGTGGCTTACGGAGCGCTGCCCTCCGCAGCGAGCGCGGCTCCCCTCGCTGCCCGCGGGAGCTGCAGCCCTGCCGGGCCCGGCGCTCCCGGGATCCCCGCACTGCTGGCGGGGACACGCGCGGGAGCTCCCGCCGGGCCCCGAGCAGAGGGAGCGCTCGGACCCACGGGAGGGCTAGTGCCTGCCTGGACCTCCCTCCTGTTGCTGCTCTTCCACTCCAAAGCTGCTCCTCGCAATCGCACACCCTCGCGTTACTCTTCGAGCAGGCTCTTTTTCTCAAAAGGCTCTGGTAATCCCCTGGTTACTCTTTAATCTGTCTGATAGTTGTTTTAAACAAACTTTAGCATTGTTAATTTCTTCTTAGCATTATCGTTCTTTTGGCAAACATCCTCCCAGAACAGCCAGGTGAGGGTACCCTGTTCACACAAACTGTTTACACTCACATTCCTGCCCTATCATCTGTTGTTATCCAGGCCACGTTATCTAGGGGGGACTCTGTGATTCCTGTACAAAAAATCCCTCGCATCAGTCACATAAGGGCAGCAAAGGTGGATGCACAAGCTAAGGTGGTATTGTGGCATCCAGCTTTCATTTTGGAAATCGCCTGGGATGATTTCCTTTGCATAAAGATCAATCATATAAAAAGTTTTCCAAACGACCTAGATTTCTCTAATCCAGCCTTGCCACTTCAGGTAATACCACACAGCATCGCATGTTTTGTTTTGGAAAAATGCAGTTCAAGAAGATTCTGTGGCAGTTCGAAGCATGTTGTGAAGCTGCATCTGTTCAACTAAAATTCAATTGGCTATTTGAATTTACTGAATGTTTTTTAACAGGTGGAGTGGAAATGGCTTCGAGGACTCTTGCTGCTTTGCTCCAGCGTGGTGCGCTTCCCTCGCTGCCTTCTGCAGGCACTTCCTACATGGTGCACTTGGAAACTAGCGGTGTATAGCAGAGCCTACAAACCCTTACAGCACATTACGTGCTAATAAAAGCTCCAGGAGTTGTCCTTCCTCCTTGTGCCTGCCTCCTGTAAAGGCTTCGTGGAAAGCTACTAACAGCAGGGTGTTTGCTTGGTTTTATAGGTCCATCCTTGAAGACGGAAAAGTAGTTTATAGCGTATTACATACAGTTTACAGTAATTTATGCCTGTCGATATATGTGCTCCAGGTCCACATACATTTTTGCCCATGACTCTTTGTCTGCTGTTTTAGAGCCTTGTTAGGAAGTTGCTGATCACAAGCTTCTCTTCCAAAGAAAATTTCAATCTAACCTAATTCTTTTGTGAGAAGGAGGAGGAGCAAACTGCTTCATGGTGCTTGCACGGCCTCCATTATGGAGCAGGGATAATTCAATGAATGATTCTGACCTCACAGTGGCTTCTGGTTAAAAGACAATCCTCTACATACAGAGCAGGACACTGCATCAGGTGTTTCCTTTTTTTTAAAAAAAAATATTGATCCCAGAAAGATTAGGTCCCTCCTCATGATGGTCTTGAACCAGCTGCTTTTTAGATGACGAATAATTCTGAGCACTAGGACAAGCTGGCAGGTGCTTCTATAGATGGCAAGAGGGAGATTCGTAAAAGACATTATCACCATCGTGGTAGTAAGGGACCATTAGAGCAGGATGGTGGTTGCGTCCCACAATTTTCTTTAGACTACACATAGGTTTCAGCCGAAGATGTGTCCTCTGAGCGCTGCAGTCTGCTTGGGGAGAAAGCCTCGTGTCAGCTCAGTGGTGCTTCTCCTGTTGTGACCTAATCCCGGGTGAACTAGGGAAGTTAAATTACTCAAAAACTGACGGAAACAGGAATAACTATATAAAACTTAGGATCTGGAACTAAAGGGGATGCTTTGGTGTTAAAGATGTGTGTTAGAAGCGGGAATTAAGAGCTGCTGAAGAAATCATTATGCTATGATTTTTCAGAACAGCTGCTCAGAAGCACAATGTAACAGGAAACTGATCCAAGAGGCATCAAATATTAAGAAGTTTTGATTTCAAAGGGCTCGCTAACTTCTCTAAAAAGTTAATGTGGCCAAAGCGGCAGCTGCAGCCCGCTACTAGAAATGAAGAGGTTGTGGTTGAGTGGCAGGAACAGCAACTGCAGGGTTTGTGCTGTGGTTTTGCAAAAGATTCAGCCGTTCTCTTTGAGAGAAGAACTTGGGGGAGACTACAGCGAGTCTCCTCAGCGGTGGCCTAAATTCACAGCAGAATTGCCTATTTCACTGGTATTTCCCAGCAGTGCTTTTTCATCATTGCGAGCTCAGATTTTTATTTTACGTGCAAAATACTTGCGTAACAAAAAGCATTGAAACAGTCTAATTAGGGGACGGCCGTTCTGAGGCAGCCAGCATGGACTTTGTCCTGCTGCTCCGTGCGCGAGGTGCCTCTGTGCGCGGGGAGCCCTTTGGGGCTCGGCGGGAGAGCCGCTTCTGCCGCGCTTCCCAACGCGGGCGCTCTGCTGCAGGGGAGGCCCTCGCTCCCGCACAGGCGCCTGCGGAAATACCTAGGGATGCAGGACTGGGTTCTGCTATTTCTTGGAAACAGAAGCATGGCTGTGAAAGGGAGAAATGAGCTCCAAACTTGTAAGTTTTTCTGCATATATAACAGAAAAATTATTTTTCGGTGAAAGAGACAGTATTCTGTGTGCATTAGTACACATTGTTCAATCCCTTGTGTTGTCTCATAAGGTATCGCAATCAAGTGCTGCGTCCAGACATCTGATCATCATCATAACTCACACACAGTGCAATCAGCAAGGCAAGAAACAGAAAAACCTTGCAGATATTTTGTGTGTTGATAATAATTTACAGAGTATGTAGAATTTGTCAATTTGCCATTTATTAACCAAGACTGACCAGTTTCTGCTTACTTATTATTTTTTTAACTGTTTATTAGTATTATTGGAAAGTGGATGTTCAATTTTCATTTCTTAATCCACTGATATTTGATTTTGGCAACCAAAAACACTAAACCTTCAGTAACAGCTATAGGACAGTAAATCAAAAGTAATACAACATGATAAAATTGCACTTTCAAATCCTTGCTTTTTCTTTTCCTTCTTTTTCCCTAGTCATCCTGGAAACGTATTTTTGTTACTGCAGTTATGCAGTTTCCGTGCTTGGGGCTGTCTTTTCTTAACTCCTTCTAACCACTTGTCTGCTAAGGTAATTTTGAAATTGTACAACTTTCCAGAATTCTGGAGCGCACATGGAAATTGTTTGTTAGGAAGAAAAGAAGTAATTTAGTTTTCATATAAAACCATTTCAGCACCAGCTAGGAAGGCTCTTAGTTGGTCCGTCGGTTCTTTCCATGTTAGGTAAAATCTCTTTCTTAGCAACATCCTGTGGAGTTTCCCACACGCTCATCTGAGGGGAAGAAGGGACATGTGGTGGTGGGCTGTGACACACGGTGGCTCTTAGGTGATTACAAAAGCAAGTTTATTTGTGAGACACAAAGAGATTTGGCCTTCACCAGCCAGGACAAATGAGACCTTGTTCCTTCCCCAGAGCACACTCAAGACACCGTCCCTCTTACCTGAGGAAGTCCTGCCACTGTTCAAGTCCTCCAGTACTAAGTCAGGGAAGAACCCAAGTGCCGGAGGACTCACACACTGAGTAGGTGTATGCGACTGGCAGGGGCTAGAGGGCACTGTTCACAGACACATTAAAATACCACCGTGCGAAATGTACAGCAAAACTACATCACCCGAATCGGTGCAAGGTTGAGCCCCGTGCTTGAGAATTTGCTGGACCCCACAGAGCTGATGAGGACAAGAATGTCGGTCCAACCAAACCGCTTATGCATCTTTTCTAACAGATGCCTCTCAATGGTTGTCTGGATGACTGGGGCAGCATGGGCTTTGCAAATACTTCAGGCTTGGGAAGCACTAGAAAATGTTAATAAAATACTTGGTTGCAGCGTGGTCTCCAGGTCTTCAATAGTTCCTCTGTCTAGGCTGGTCACCTGCTAGTGATAGCCCAGAAATGAAGAGGATAAATTAGGCATGTGTAACCCTTAAAGCTTTTCCTGACTTACAACCTTGTCTTACCCGTCTGGAGCTGTGTTAAATACATAGGAGGAAGAAGAGATAATGAACAAGAAGTAGCTTCTAGACAGACTCGGGAAAAGTCTAATGAATGCAGAATTCTGAGCTGGAGCCAGGCGCCTCCTTTCCCCCCCTCCCCAGACCACAAAGTCATTGCAAAGAATCAAAGTCTGTTCCTTGCATTTTTGCTGTTCTTGGAGAATAGTCCCATGCTAGAAATGTTTTTCTGTCTAAAATTCAAAAAGTTATTGCTTTTACTTTAGAATCACAGAATATAGTCCAATCCCCCTTGTCAAAGCAGCTGGAGTAGGTTGCTCAATATCAAGTCCAAGCAAGCTCTGAACATCTGCAGGGACGAAGACTTACCAGCCTTTCTGGGCAACTTGTTTCAGTGTTCAACCATCTCACAGTACTTTTTTAAAATTATTTTTAAATAAAATTTCCTGTGTGGTCACTTGTGGTTACTGGCTCTATTGACTGAAAATTGCTGACAAGAGCCTGGCTTTGTCTTTTACCTCCCTTCATTCCCATTAATACCTATTTATAAATATTGGTAAGACCCCCTCACCCCACCAAGCCCCCTCCAGGCTGAACCACCCCAGCCCTGAGCCTCTCCTCATACAACGGATGTTCCAGGCCTTGATCATCTCATCGGCTGTTGGCTGCCCTTGTCCCAGCATGTCCACGCATTGCTTGTTCCAGCAGAGTCCAAAACTGGCCACAGTGCTCCAGATGTCCTCTCACCAGTGCTGAGTCGAGGGGATACTGGCTTCTGGCCATGCTTCCTAATGCAGCCCAGCAGGTTGTTGGCCTTCTTTGCTGCAAGGACATGTTCCTGGGTCACGTTAACTTTGTGTTCACTGCAACCCACAGAACCTTTTCTGCAATGCCATACAGCTGCGAGCCTGGTGCCTAGGGCTATTCCTCTGTTTTTCCTTGCTGAATTTCTGGATATTCTACTCAGGATCCTGGGCTGTCAATGCAACCAAGGCTGCTCCCAGCCTTCACATCCCAAGCAGTTCATCCTTGGTCCTAAGTATGAGGTTCAGGAGAACATCTCCCATTCTCAGTCACTTGTGGCAGCAAGTTCTCATATTCCAGAAACCACCTGGACTGCTTGTGCCCTGCTGTGTTCAAGTAGCTTTTGAGGTGGTTAAAGTTAGGACCATTAGGACTGGGGCCTGGAAGTGGGAGACTTCTTCCCCTTGCCTAGGGACTAACTAAAAAAAAAGTGAAGAGTAATATATTGGCAGTGCTAGGCAGTATTCTCCTTGCTTTTATAAACAAAGGGAGTAAAACAGATACTGTCTTAGTAATAGTATACAGAAACCTCACTTAAATTTTAAGAAATAAATTTTCTTTGTTACCAAAGGGCTGAGCAAATATGTTTTTTTTTAATATTCTTGTTTATTAAATTCTAGAGAGAACCAAAAACTATCAACTCATTAAACTGATGTCTGTATCAAGTACATTAGTAGAAACTATATTAAAAGAATTGTCACATACAGAGATATGATCTGCTTAGGAGCCATCAGCATTGCTTTAGCTGTAAGGAGTTGTGCTTCACGCTTGTGTTGCATTGTATTGGAGTTTTTTAGGAGGGAGAGAGCCAATAGCAAGCAGATTTGGAGCTGGTTGATACATTCTCCTTGAATTTTAAAAGGTTTTTGGAAAAAAAAAGAAAAAAGAAACTTTCACTGGGGAATGGAATGGACATATCTAAGAGAAAAAATCCTGGACTGCATAACCTAGCAGATAGGAAGACAGCATAAAAGTAAATGCCCCTTCTTTCACATAGGTAAAATCCACAGCTGGGGTTTCACAGGGTTCTGTGCTGTTCACCACACTGCTAAACAAGAAGGGGGAGCCATAAAAGTTTGCATATAAATTTATTCAGGACAGTAAGGGCAAGGTCCAAGTACAAATGGGCAGAATGAAATTCAAGATAGATTGGTGTTAAGTGATCCAGCAGGCAAAATGGCCCTTACTGCATACAAAAGGATGGATTCTGACCTATCAGGCCAGAGATCTTTGATTATTACTATGAAACCATTGGTCAGGTGCAGTCAAAAAAGATCAAACAGTAGAATTTAACAAAGGTATTTAAAAAAAATAAGATCACTGTTGTGACAGTAGGTTATGATGTGCCTGTATTTCAGTTCTTCTGTGCAGAATTCTCAGAAGAGCATCCAGCAGAACTGGCAGAGACTCTGCAGAGCTGCGTGCACTGCAAGACTGGTGCCTCTTGGCTACCCAATATTCTTCAGACCAAGCGTTAACAAAATTTTAATGGAATTTGATTTTTCAGAGACTCAAGTAGTACTTATTGATGCTGAAGCATTTCCTGAATATTCAAAGTTGAACAGTTGTGCTATACAAGGTCATATTAGAGGTAGATAGTTATTAAATGCACCTAGGCTTCCTAATCTCAGTTAGTTACCATGAACAAGGTAACACTTCATTCTGAAGCGATGTTTTGAGAATAGCTGCAAGAGCTTCTTGAAGACTGGGAAAGATTGGGAAAGGGTTTGTCGCTACTATTTCGGCTATAATATTCTATCCATTGAGTGCACAGACTATACAGCAATAGAAAAGAATTTCCAGAGAAAGATCCTGTTAGTCTTTTACCTAATATTCCAGCAATGCAAGTTTGAAGCAATGAGTATAAACATGTCTTCCACATACCTTCATAGGACACAAGGAATCCATTTTGATACATCATGATAGAATATTCACTTACAGGGAAGAGTAGAAACATGCCCAGATAAGCCCCCAATATACAAAGTTTTTAGCAGTTTAAGCAATCAGTTGGCAAGAATGACAAAGTACAACTAACAAAACAAAAAAAATTGTTTAAGGATTTAAGGCAAGACTTTACCCGACATTTTCTTATATGCCCTTAATCATTTTTAAAGGCATCTGACTTAAGATAATAACACTATAAGATAGTCATGATGTACTGAAAGAATTTATGCAATGTGAAAAAAAAATCTTGTTCTCTAGTATAATTATTTTAAAGGGAAGAGCATACATCTATTCCAACATTTATATCTTTCTTATTATTTCAGCAGGCAAGAAATAGTTAAGCTTTATAAAGCAGTAACTTTGAGCAGCTTAAATACCATAAAGACCTATAGAATCATCTCAAATTCAGTCACTCATTTCCAGGATTTCATGGGACTAGAACAGATGCATGCCAGAAATAAGGAACTGGTTCAATTCTTTGAGGATTTTTCCCCTCCACCCAGAATGAGAGTATCAGGTGGGAAATGAAGATGAAAAATAACTTAAATGAAACATCACTCTTTCTCCCATCTCCATCAGGGAGCAGAGTCTGAGGAGTGGTATTATGAATTACAGCAGCCAGATCTTTGCAGTTCTAGATAAGGGATGAGATCTAGACAAATCTGTAATTATCATTTCTGACAGATCAAGGATCAGAGCTTTTTCTTCAGCCTTGCCTAGAGCATTCAGTCTCAAACACTTTACAGCCAGACGAGAAAAGACAAAGTGGATAAAACATTAATAGTTACAATGACACAAGCAGAGGATAGTTCATTAGTGTATGTTTTAAGCACTGGCAGAATATAATTATTAGTACTTTAATTGATCTTCTATTTGACTACTTTGAGTATCTTATGTAGTAGCGATCTTGGATTAAGAAAGGCAAAATAATTTCTTCCCCCTACCCAGCCCCCAAGAGCTGAGGGGTTTGTGTTTACATATCTCACTTCAAGTTCATGAATTTTACAGATTTTTTTAAACACCTCTTTTTCTCCCAAACCTAGAGTTTACTCATACAAGATACTTCTATGATACTTCAGACACTATTCCAGTTCACAACAGCATCTAGTAGACTAACTAACAAGTTGTGACAGACACCTGACAGCACAGGAATTCTATATAAGCACAAGATGTTATTCATCCATCTGCTCACCTCTAATAGCCTTAGCTGAAAAGGTCCTTTATTTCAAAAGGGAGATTGGAGAGTTTACATTTTCCGTTTCAGAAACAACATACTTACTGAAATTAAGTACATCTAAAAGCGGGAGAGAAACAGTGACTGTCTCTATTTGTCTTGGTGCATCCACTGCTCTGTGATGCACACTTTCCTGGAAAATAAAGAGGAAAGGCTCAAATGCAGCAAGTCTAAAGCACTGCTTATGCCTCATATTTTGAAAATACTAAAGTTCTTTTGTACCAAGAACCTCTCAGAAGCAGCACTTTTTTTGTACTTCACCACTTACTTGAAAACAGCTTTTTTTTTTTTTTTTTTTTTTTTGCACGTCACCTTCCCCATTTTTTCCTGGGCACAACAGCAGACAACAGAACAACCAGAAAAAAAAAATAAAGCTGTATTTGCCAACATCTTCATCCTCGCTTCTATCCCCTCCCACAATAATAACATACTCTTGTTAGATCTCTTTATTTATAATCTTCTCATAACAAAGCATTTTTTTTCCTTTATATAAAAAAGCAGGGGCTACAACAAAGCCTTTAGATCACACAGAAGCTAAGTTCATTATGTTCAGGCAGGCCAAGGGGATAAGAAAAAGAAATCACCGATAAAAGAGCGGTGATAGATACTCCGAAGGGAGAATTTTCCCTAGCGGCTGCCTTGGAGGGCCTGGAGGCTGGGGAGCAGCTGGGCCGCGCTCAGGCGCTCCTCAGCATTGGCCTTCCAGCAGCAGCTGATGATGCTCCGCAGCCGCTGGCCCGCGGGGGCCCCGAGGAAGGCCGCGGCGCTGAGGGGTGGCCGCAGGCCGTAGGCCACCACAGCGTAGAGCACATACTGCCGCTCTCCCTCGTAGGGCTGCTCCCGCGTGACCATCTGCCACAGGGTGATGCCGAAGGAGTAGATGTCGGCCTTGGCGGTCACCCGCTCCCCCTTAAGGAGCTCGGGGGCGCGATGGGTGTACGTGCCCCCTTGCTGGCAAACCTGGGGGCTCGGGGACAAGCCGTCCTCCAGCTTTTGGGAGCACCCAAAGTCTCCAATCTTGCACACTCCCTGTTCAGTGATGAAGATGTTCGCAGGTTTGAGGTCCAAGTGCACGATACTCTGCGAGTGAAGAAAGGCTAAGCCAGTCAAAATGTCACAAGAATAAAACACAGTCTCCTCCATGCTCAGGCCCTTTCTTCCACACCCTCCTTCATCATCCTCTCCCTGTGTCCACGTGTCGCTAGTGCCGTAGATCACATGGTGCAGGGTGATGTTGCCCACATACTCCATGATGATGGTGCCCAGGCTGTTCTGGCTGGCAGGAGCACACGTGCTGGCAGCCACCACACGCACCACATTCGCATGCTGCAGGCGGGCTACGTTCAGCTCAGCCCAGAAGCTCTGCCGCGATGCCAGCCTGTTCTTGCTGCTCTTCTTCACCTGCTTCACAGCCACAGTGGCACCGTGGTACGTGGCTTTGTAGACAGAGCCGAAGCCCCCAGAGCCGAGGGGCTGCAGGAGGCAGAGCTGGTCCCAATCTATGGAGCACCAGGCCAGGCGTGGGGGCAGGCGGCGAGTCCTGAGTGAAGGGGTTCCCCCTAAGAAGCTTTTTCCATCTTTACCAGGGATCACTAAAGGGCTGCTGCAGGGTCGTAAATCCAGGGATGGGGAAAACTCCAAAGGAATAAAGCGACTGAGAGGTATAGGTGATGGCATAACACAACACAGAGAAGAAAAGGCAGTCACTAAGACAAAAGACTAGACAATCCCCCTGACAGAAAGAAGAAAAGAAGCCTCCAGGACCTTCCAAGGCTGTTTTATCCTCTCTTCCCATCTCCCAGATGAATTGCATCTGTCAAAACTAGTGTAATCCCAATCAGGTTCAGCTGAAAACATTCTTCTCCAGTCCTTCAGTAAATCTCTAAAGGCAAGTGTTGAGGCAAGTGGTTTCTAAAGCGAAATATATTAACTCACATGTATTTTACATAGCTTGTCAGCTCCGGAGAAAAGAGAGACACTCTGTCTGTTGAATGCCTCCAGCAAATGCCCAGCAGCACATCACCCACAGTGCCTGATGAACGCGCTTCGCCCCGCTTGGGCAGGAGCCGTTGCTGTCGGATGTGTCAAACAGCTCAAGTCACTGTGAGAGGTAACAGCTGAAGTGCTCGGTGCTGGCACTTGATTAGCCTGTGGCAGGGGTGACTACCTGTACTAAAGAGCCTTCACAGAGAACTGCAGTTAAGCATGGCTGGAACAAGGGGGACCAGTTCAGCTGCTCCAGTCTGGCCATAATAGTAGGACGAAGCCAAATGATGGCTCCGTTTCCTCTGCAGGACACAGTAAATGCCGACTGTCTGTCGGGAGAGAAGTTTTTTAATTGATTCACAGGGAAGCAAACTTCTGACTTGGAGTAGAGATGAATGAGAACAGGCAATCTGAGCTATCACCTGTTAATGCGAGACAAATTAGTTGGGAGAATTTAGATAAGTAAGAGTTAAGAATACATTATAGGAGTTGCTACCTAGTAGAGTGTAAAGACCTAGGGGTCAACAGGACTTTCAGACCACAGGACTTCCAGACAACAGAAGGTGCCTCTTTCCTTCTATGTATTTGCGGCAGGTGAGCTGAGAATGACTGGGGGGTTAGTTCTTGCATAGGCTTCGGTGCCTACATGTACTACATAAAGCCAGCAGAGGCCTGAGCACCTGCTATAAATTCTCCAAGAACTTCAGCCTTCTTGTGGGAGAAGTGTAACTGCTGCAGCCTCTTTTCATGAGACCAAGGTAGCTGGGAGGCTTGGAAGGGAGGGCTGGCTGAGGGAATGGGGAGAAGGATGTGGGGACAGAGGGCCCTAGCAGACAGCTATAGGAGCCTGTGTAGGGCTTTTGAGTGCTGCACAACGCAGTAACAAGCACCAGCTCATAAAACAGAGAGTCACTATCAGATCTCTTCCCACATTTCTCTGTCTGAAGTCTCATTTGGGAGGATAAGGTAGACCTTTCATATCATTTTTTCCCCCAAATCCACATCCTCCCATTCTTTATAGTTGTCCCTTTTTTTCTTAGTAATTTTGTTACCCTTTTCTGCTAAAAACCTTTCTGTTCCCATCTCATATTTCAGCCCATAGCATTGCTGACTCCCAAACCCATGTCATGGAGAGAGCAAGGAATTCATGGCACGGGTGTTGCATTGTTCTTGGGGAATCCACTGAATTCAATTTTGAACATCAAGAGGGACATATTTTGGGATCTAAAGAAACTTAATTCAACTTATGCTTTTTTCTCAAGCTGGTTGCTGAGGGCTGGAGCAGGGGGACATGGAATTTCTCTCAATGTGATTGCAATTAAAGCACATTTTAAACCAACCAGAGTTACATTCGTAATAAACGTGCCTCTCCTGCAAGGCAGTCGGTGACACGGTCCAGTCTATCCCACGTGGCGTGGGCGCTGGGGGACATCCTTGTCGTGCTTCACGGCTGCACTTGGCTCCCGTGGGGCCCTTCCTGCCCCCCTCCCCGGGCCACCCACAGCGCCCAAAGATGCCTCCAAGCAGGCGGCTCCCGTGTCCCCACCACCATAGAAGTAGCGCAAGGACAAGGGGAGCTGCACAAACCACAGCACTTCAGCAGCAACAGGGGCACATTTTTGCTCCCTGGCAGCCCAAAGGGTCACTAGGAACAAACGTATAGCAGAGGCTTTTAAAAATGACAATGGGGGGATACGGAGCAAAGCTGCAGCCCGTTCCAGCGACAACAACCTGGGGCTGCAAGGGGTGTGCTGCAGGGCTGCGTGTCGTGTTTCTGCGAGAAAAACCCCTCCGTGAGCCTGACGCTGCAGCAGCTGCTCAGCCCAGTCTGCGCTTCGAGCTGAGAGGAGCGCAGAGCCGCTCCTGCCCCATACACCTGTTTTTATTTCAATCATGGATCAGGAGATCTTTGTTGGCTGTTACTGCCGGTTACTCGTATCGTTCATTGCTTCGCATGACAGAAGATGGTCCAGGCGCCGAGGGACTCGGAGCCAAACAAACTGATCGGGATATAACACAGCACAACAAGGATACGCAGCGAACACCCATGTGCCTTACTCCTGAAGTGCAATTTGATTTTGGTCATGGCACACTGCTGCTTTTTTTGCCTGAATCATGAAACGAGCGGAACTGGAATCTGGGACTGATTTTGGAGAGTTTAAGAGTGTATAATTGTATTCTTCCAATCACGGCTTTATTTCTTTGAGCATTTGTGAAGTGGATAATACAGCAAACCCTTCAAGGTCTGGGCATTCAGTGGCTTCTAGGAACTTCTTTACAGTATAAAGGTAGCATTGTTCCTCTACTAAATTACTTTATAATCTTGCTAAAGGACTCAAATTTATCTCCTAAGTACTTAAATTACAGTCCTACTTTGAAAAAGAAACAGAAAAAAAAAAGCTTCCTCAGCCTGTTTTCTGATCTTTTTTCCTCTGTTTTAAATCAAAGTTTTCCTTTTTTTCTCCAATTACTGTCAGCCTGTGATCTCAGTTTAGGATTTGATGATGAAGCTACATTTTTTCTTGCTCATGTAGCATTTTTCAGTCCAAATGCTGCTTGCAGTCGCACCTCACTGACCTCAGGCGATACTCTGAGGTGCATGGGAGCAGCTCCGATACAATCAGTTGCACAGGTGAAAGCAGCAGCATTATGTGAAGCAGCACCATTATGTAAAGCTGGTCCATATACACAGCTTGCTCTGAGGTCAGGCCATTGACAAACCTCTTTTTTTTTTTTTTTTTTTTTTTTGACTAAAAGCACAGGCCAGGAAAGAATCCAGTTCATATGCAGAGTTTGGTTGTTTTGGTGGGACAAGTGACACTTTGGAGTAGCAAATACAACCAATTTTTCCGTAAAGGAGTCAGAATGCAAAGAACAACCAAATCTGCAAGAACTGTGCCACTATTTTACAGCTGATCTTTAGAACGGAGCCATAATAACAAACACTTACAAAGATTAAACCCTAGTTTATAAATAACAAGATCAGGTTTCCGACACACATTGCCAAACAGTTGCCTGTTACTCTTTTCCTCCGCCGGGAGGTCGCTCTGCGCGTTGCGGAGGAGGAAGCAGCGGGTCTCGTTCGCGCTGCGTGCCCGGGTTTTATGTGAGGGCCCTAGCAGGGCAGCCGGGGTCTCGGGGCCTCCCTCACCACCCAGGCACCAGCAATCACAATGTGGGCCCTGCTGCTGGGCATTAATATCACACTCGCAAAAACACACTGCGAGACGAGCTGCGGGAGCCCAAAGCGACGCCCGAGTATTCCGCAAGGTGAAATGCAGGCTCTGAGGCCCAGCAATGTTCTCTGGCCACGCGAGGCAGGTCACCACCCCGGCAGGGCCGCTGCTCACGTACGACGGGCCCCTCGTGCAGTGAGTGCACCAAAATTGTCCGCGGCTGCTTCTGCAGTCCTGCCCCCGTAGCAAAGCTGATTAATGGCCTCTGCTGGGTCACAGGGAGATAAAGAGTAACGGTGGAATTTGAGACTTGCAGCTTAGGGACTAGAAAACAGCTTTAATGTTTAGTAAGAGTAACGGCCTGCTGCAGCCGAGGGCCCGGGGGATGGTGCCAGCGCTGGCAGCAGTGGCTCCCCCAGCTACAACCCACTTAATGCTGCTGCCCAGGGCTGGGTTCCTGTGCGGAAGGGCAGGATGCTCCTGCAGCCCCAGGGACCCCGAGAACACCCAACTGCAGATCCTCTTCTCTTTAAAACACACATTTGCCACAAGCACCGCAGCTTCCTGTAACCCATCTCCAGGGTGCTGCGAGCGGGGGAAGAGCAGGAGGGCACCTGAATTCACTGGCTTTGAAACGATAATCTGGGCGCCCTGCTGGCGCCAGCAAATTATCAGAGGCTGCCATGAGTGAGAGGATACTTAACGTTTTGTGCAGTGTGACAACGTGGTGATGTGGTTGGCACCAGAGAGCAGGCAGAAGCTTGCCGTAAAACAACTGCAGAACTACACCAAGCCGAAGCTGAGTGACGCACAGAAACCTACGGGAAATCCTGCAGCACTTCCCTGGCATGACAAGCCACGTGCTGAGAAAGTCACAGAGGAAACACAGCTTTTAGCTGGCAATGGACATCAGCGCATTTGGGGTTTTAGCCTATGCTTACTTGTCATTAGTATTTGTTTGATATTTGATATTCTTACATTATAGCCTGGATATTGCTTGATTATGGCATTCCCCCCTCCCCAGCGGTAAAGATTGTTTTATTTTTACCTTCAATTTAAGCACTTGTGAGGAAACTTAGGGAATTAACGACGACTTTGTGCGTCACAACTTAAAAAGCAGTAAGCCTGAGACGAGCTTGATTCCAACTGCATCGCCGGCAAAACTTCTCTACTGAAATTGTATCTAAGAGTACATAAGCAGTGCTGACAAACACCTTCCTTGCAGAAGTCTGTGCACCCCGCAGATAAATTGCTGTCCCTCGTAGATTAATCAGGTATTTGGGAGAAACCCTTCCAACTTGCTTGGGAAACCAAATGTTGTGTTAACTGGGAGATACCTTTGTAAAGCACATGACCCACTTTGGCGTTTGTAAAACACCAATACTTTTAACTACTTGATGTAAACAAAACCCATTTCTTAACATTTACCGTTTTGATTGCTTGCCTTCCCCCATATACATATATACATGCACATAAATATATAAAAGCTTAAGCAATATATGGATTTTCTGGAAC